GAGCCTTACTTCTCAAAGCAACTAGAATACTGCAGTCAGTCAATGTATAACTCTGGGCCGATGGAGACACTAACATTTAAAATTTTAGCTAATGAGTATTAGTAAACGGGTAGGTGCTTTCTTTTTAAAGTGTATTTTTTTTCTTAGTCATTCACAGTATGTTCCTGTGGTGTGTTTAAATGTTAAATTTTAATTTGTAATACAAGTAACTTAAATTTTCTATTTATCAAGGTAATAAATTTGTGCAAAATATCTTTTTTCCTCAGTCAAAAATAGCTTTGTTTCTCCATATATTTTATGTATTTGGAAACATATGTAAAACATATGTATAAAAGCTGATTGCTGTACTGTATTGTATGATACATTATCTCAGAAAAGCAATAGTACCTGGCTCAGAGAAGCTACCTCTTTCTAGAAATCATTATATTTGCAATAAGATCATCAGTGCTAAAATTTGAAAACAGATTTTCATTGCAAGATAAATGGATTGCTGGCTAGATATTCTATTTGGGATTTGGTTCTACAGCAGTTCCCTCCAAGATTAAGATGATCCATCTTGGAACCATGCTGCTTAAGACACAGATGTTAAAAAGGTTAGAGAACAGAATGTACTAAGGGGAGAAGGGAAATTCTGCTGGGAAACTCATTAAGCTCAGGAAATAAGGACCTCAACGCTTTCAGGAAGTCCCTGAAGACCAGTTAATATTAGGCATCCTCCCTACCCTCCCAAGCATATGTAAGCTGTAAGGTCTGTTTAGAGATTTTCAGAACAACTGAGCTGCCTTATACTGAGAGATAAGCCAAGTTGTCTAGAAGAAACAGACCAGCTGGGATGGCTGGAATGGGCTCAGGCCAACTGATCTACTTGGAATGGATGGAGTCCCTCATTCATATTCTTAAACATAAACAGAATAAAACTCATTGGTTCATCAAATCAGATTTTGGTGGTATCCTTATTTTGGTCTGTGTTTTCTCCCTATTTGGGACGAGTACACATTTGTTTACTTGTCCTCAGAAACAGTGTCATACAACAGACCTCACTATAGGTAACCTTGAAAGCTGCTGGAGAAGCCCCTCTGGTTGGGGAAGATGAATTTATTTTTTATCTGGCTGCTGTAACAAATTGCAATAAATGGAACAGATTCAAACATTACACTCTTGTTCATCTCTAGAAAACCAAAGTCCACGCTGTTTTATCGGGTCAAAGAAAAACAATAGCAGAATCTGTTCCTCTGGCAGCTGAGAATCTGTTTGCTTTGGCTTTGCTTTCTTCAGTCTTTAGAGCTGACAGTTCTTGGCAAAAGAGCCTCCCCCTTTCCACCCTCAAAGCTGGGGCCTTAATGGCTTTGGTCTCATTGTCACCTTCTTTGCGATTTTCCCCAAAGCGTGACTCTTAGGGGGACCTTTGTTATTGTACATGTTGGCTTGAATGAGCCAAGATAATCTCCCCATTGCAAGGTCTGGAACCCCTCACTGCTGTCAGTCCATTCTGTCAGGTAAGTCAACATTCACATGTGCTAGGGGTTGGGGCATGGACATGCCTGAGGACATGCTAATTCATCCTACAGAGGATGATATACTCGGACTGGGGCAGGAAGGGAATGAAAGCCGGAAAAGCTTTCAAATAACACTTCCATGTGGTAATAACATTTAGATATCAACTCTCACTGTGTATTTGCCATGACACCTTTCTGGACCCTCGATCAAGGTCATCTCATATAATCTTCAAGACCCTTGGAGCAGAGCTAGCATTTGACATATAGTGATGAGGTCACATCAGCACACGTGACAGACTACTGCCCATTCCTTGTGAGAATGTGACAGGGCCAGTGTTTATGCTCCCACAGCCTGCTGCAACCTGGGGCTACTCTGCTCTGCTGCTGTGTCGTCCTTCCTGGTGTGATAAGCAAAATGTGCTACAGAAACACAGTAAGAACCAGTGGCTCCTCAGCCAAGAGTTCCAGAACCCTTAGAATCAGAAAGAACTTGATAGTTTATATTCTGACTCACTTTACAGCATAGTAGAGGAGTCCCAGGTCTGACTGGAAACTAAGACATAAACTGATATTGAGAGATTAAGTTCCAGAGCAGTGGCCATACATATGGGATAGCAAAACTACTGAGGGCATATTCTCTTTTGTTCGTCTCCTTTAGACTAAGGGTATTCAGTTAACGCTCTGTACACTGTGTTATGGCTGGAGCACATCCTCGGTACCTTGCAGCTCAAATGATAACTGTATTCACAGAGAGACCATTAAAGAAAGAACTGAGGTTAAATGAGGCCTGTGGGGTAGAGCTCTTATCCAATTTAGCTGGTGTCCTTATAAAAAGAGTCAACAGGGATTTATATACACAGAGAAAAGGACACATAAGGATATGATGATAAGGTCACCATTCAGAAGCCTTGGCTGTCATAGGCCCCAGGAGAGATCAACCCTGATGAGTCAATGAAATTTAACATGAAAAATGATCTCAAGATAAGAAAGTATGAAAATAGCCCAATAGCACGAGTGGAGAGGGCTTACTCCAACCTAACCTTGATCTCAGGCTACTAACTTGCAAAAATGTGGGGGAAAAATCTAACGTTTGAACTGTCCACTGTGTAGTATTTTCTTATTGCAGCGCTAAAAATGTTGTATTCTGCACTTAGGCCTCAGGCGTTAGAAACTGCTTAGGCTGAAAGCAGCCTGGGGTCTCTCACAGTGAGAAACTACAGTTCCAAATAAATTTTAGCATTCACAAGAGCAAGTCATATACAAAATACTGAGTAAGTTGCCTTCCTAGTTAGAGTGATGCCAAACTAATAAGGTAGAAGAGTTGTCTCACACCAATAGTGACATTATGAGTCTGATTAATTTAAATGTGAAAACTATTTATCATTCGATGAAGTTAATTTGTTTGGTAAACAAAAACCAGGGGTTTTTAATGAAGAAGTAGTTAGGTATGAGCCACTGCGTTTAGCTCCCAGTTGTTTCATTTATATCCTCCAAGAGCCACGCTATTCCATCCTCTCCATGTATCTGGACCATTAAATGGGGAGAGACTTGCAAATTATGTCACATGTCACACCAGGCATGTTGAGAACTGTTGTGCTGAAATCTGGGAGTGCTGTTAGCATTTCTATGATGCATGTGGGCTTTGCTTATTTTCCTGGGAAGTCAATCAAAATGAGATGAAAACTATCTCAGGGTAACAATGTATGAAAATAACATAATAAAAGGAATACCTGAGCATCTCTGTAACCTAACAAAGGCAATATTTAAAAGTCAGAGCACTCATGTACCATGGTATTAAATGCCATCAATAGCATACAGCAGAAAATTTGCAAACTAGGATTTTAAGCATAAATGTACATTTTATTTAAAAAGAATAGCAAAGGTATGAAGAACACACACTTCTATGAATAACAGACATTTATTAAATGTTTGTATAGTAAAATATTGAGCTCAGTCTATTATAACATACAGGCTTGAGGTTCCTTGAAGCAGGGTGCCTCTCAAGAAGGAAAAATGTGTAAACACAGGGTGGAATTCTGGGGCGCCACTCTACGAATGTATCCTTTCTGCCCTTCTTTGCAACTGCAATAAGAATATTCAGAAATGTTTAGGCTTTGGGGGAAAAAAAACAGAAAAAATTTCCTGAGTATTCCATTAGACTTTTTGTTAAATAAAGATTCTATTTTATGTGTGTAAGCGCCTATGTGTATATATGAGAAGCATGTGTATCCCTGGTGCCTACAGACGCCAGAAGAAGCTGTTAGATCTCCTGAAAGTGGATGTACAGATGACTGGGTCACTGGGGGCGTGATAGAAACCATATCATGGTTCTCTCCAAGAGCAGCAAATGCTTTTAATGTCTAGGACCTCACTGAACAATTCTTAAAACTATGTTACCTTCATGGAAAATGTGAAAAAGAAAAAAGTCTGAAGAAAACATTCACTTTAGTGTTTAGTATCTTTGACAGTTTAATATATTTGAGAACCACAACCCGAAAAATTTATTCAACCACGAGAAAGTCTTTGGAGTTAGCAGAAGGTTTGTCAGCACATGGTGAACCACAAGGCAGTTTATCAAGTGCTAAAGTTCCTTTTACCACCAAGCTAGTGGTGTGTGGAGATACTAAAAAACGCCGAGGATAGCATTATTTTCCAAATAATAAAATATATGTGTGTATATCTATATATGAAGAAAATAAGGATATGGGGATGATTGAATACTGGACAACAGAAGATGGTTAGAAAAAGTTAGATGCTAACGAATAGAATCTTTATTCCTTAGGCAGCATTTTCTCTGCATGTGTCAAGGCAAAAATTCTACAGACTACATTCATTAGTTCATTCATTTCTCAAATCACTCTGCAGAGAAATATTTGTTCTGGGCCTCTACAGTTACAACTAGTAGCTTTTTACTGTTTACCTCTAAACCATGGACTTCTTGGCCATGCTTTTTTTTTTTTCATTAAAATATCACCCTAAGAGAAATGATGGGGTGCTGACCATGAAGAGTTCAAAGTAAGATTCACAGCACATGTAACAGAAATTAATTCTCCTTTTATATTATGTAAGCAATCCCATATAAAACAATAATTCAGAAAAATCACATCTTAAGATTGCACTCACCCTCATTCATAAATACATCTACCGAGTATTGGAACTGAATTTAACACTTCTTGCCCACAATTTGGTACCCTACACTTTTCATTCTGGCTGCTTCATTCCACGAAGATGATAATCAGTGATAGGATTTGAAAGTAAAGCCAAGTTCTTAATATGACCGCAGGTATTTTGTATTCACGTCAACATCAACAACAACAACCAAAAATAACGTGCTTTCGAAGAGCGGGAAAACAAAATCCTGCATGATAGTACTGCAGGGAAAAAGAACCCATACATTCAGCCATCTTCATTACAGATTTAACCAGCCATTACTAACACGCTGCCATTTGATTTTAAAAGGCTTACAACCAATGATTTAAGAAGGAAAACACTGGTGAAAATAGTATATATCTTCCTGGAAAAATGATCCGTTTTTAAACACTAAAACCTTGTCTCAGAAGTTCCTCGTTTCAAGTTGTTACTCAAAAACTCATCATGTTCGAAACTCAAGTTGTTATGGGATCTTGATATCATGAGAAGTTTCTCTTTGTTCGTGAAGTCTTTTTTGATGGCTGTTTGGGGAACCAGCAACCGGTCCATTGGGTCCTCTTTGTTCTCCAGTTTCATGTACCCTTTGCTGTTGCTTCGATCCAACCGAGGCCAGCTAGGGTGCTTCCGTTGTTCAGCCTGCACAGTCAGGGTGGAACGCCCGCGGTCCAAGTCTAAGGATTTGGAGTGAGAGGAGAGTAAATGTAAGGATGTGTTGGATCCAAACTGCCTTCTAGCAGCTCCAGGAGACAAGAGTTGTCCAGTCCCAGGTCCCAGGGCCACAGAGGACTTGTATTGACTCGACAGGGACTCGCCAACGGAATTGTTCCGGGGGAGTAATGTGCTGGCGGGCTGAAAGGCTTCCCCAGAGCTGGGCAGTGGGACCACAAGGGAATCCATTGAAAGATTCCTGGACCTGCTTTTGAGGTTGTCTGCGACTTCAGTGATGCTGTCTATACTGGGCTCGTCAATGACACAGTTATTAAGTTTGATCACAGGCAGCGTAAAAGCGCTGATGGATGACGAGACGATGGATTTGGTGTCACACTTCTTGGAGCTGCTGGCCTTGTCGTCGGTGGTCTTGGATGGAGGTGGATAAAGGCCGAAGACAGACACTGCGCTGTCAGAGAGCAAAGGCGGCATGAGGTGCCCCGGGCTCTTACTTTCACTCAGCATCAGCTCATCCTCCTCCACAGAGCTGTCCACCCGAAAGCTGCTCCGCGTCGCCGAGAAGGAGGCCACGGTGGTGGCCGCCAGCCGGGATGCACAGGGGCTGCCGTTCTGCCTCACCTCTCCGTCTCCCAGCAAGCCCGTGTACAGGCCGTTCGCCTGCTTCTGCTCCTTGAGTCTGAGCGCGTGGATGTCGATGACGGTCGAGTAGATATCCCTCATGTGGATGATTTTCGTTTCTTTGTCGCGGTTCTCGTGAAGGATGGCGTTGGCACAGATGAAAATGAAGATGCCGATGCCCATGGTAAATGGGCCAAGCATCTTCATCTTGTCGGAGTGAAGGTGCTGCTCAAAGAAGCGCACCACCACACCGCCCTGGTTCCGAACCACCTGCGTCTCATTGGTGGACAGCGTGGTCTCGGCGTCGATGAACTGCTCCTTCTGGGGCCAATACCCGAGGACCGCCATGGCGATCCCAGTGATGGACACCAGCACCCCCAGAATGAGGAAGAAGCCGGATGGAGAATAAAGCCGGATTTTCCCACGAACTACCACGACGTCAGCTCGCGGGCGCCGTCGGACGGGTTTCTGGTCCTGGGGAGCAGGCAATGGGCTGAGGTTGATATGTTGCTGGGACCTAGCCGAGTCCTGACGCTTCAGGGCCGCCAGGCCGGTGATGACCCCACCAGTGGCTATCATAGCGTCCTCTCGTGCCCTGAAAAGAAAGGAAACGGGTGATCCACATGTGTGCTTGGGAGGCTGTGAAACCCAGTCTGAGAACGGCTCACGCGGGCCGTGGCTACCACTGTGCAATGTGGTAAAGGCCAAAGAATAACTCTTAAATCATCACATTTTGGAAAGACGTTATGTTGGTTGACTAATGTGAATTTCTGGAGCGCTCCCTCGGGACCCTTCGTGTGTGTGTGTTAATGCATTATGAGCTTAATAAATATTTTTGGTTAAATAATTTCTTCACCTCAATATATTAAACTGTCCCTTGGTCGCAAGCCCCCACTGCCCCCAGACATAACTTCCCATCACTGTTTATGTTATTTCAGGGAAATGGGGACTTGGGTGGTAAGATGGCTGGTGGGTTGGTAGTGTCTGCCTTACAAGCAAGAGGAACTAACGTACAATATTCCTCCCAGACCTGGGTGTCCAGGCCTGATCATGTGAGCTGGGCCCTGGGGAGGCTGGGGCAGGAGGACCCTTGGGCTCCCAGGCTTCCCAGCCTAGCGGAACCTACCAGTTCTAGGCCAGTGAGAGACTGTCTTAAAAAGCAGGGTAGATGGCATCCTGAAGAACAACAGTAGGTTTTGACCTCTGGCTACACACACACACACACACATAAATACACACAGGTACACATGCATGCACACACACATACACACACACACACACACACACACATACACACAGGTACACATACATGCACACACACATACACATAAATACACACATGCACACACACATACATGAATAACACAGAGACCTCACACCTGCCAAAAGAGCAGATTTTAGCATCCATGGTGAAAGTAACCCAGGAACTCCTCCTCTCACATTTAGCTTCTCTCTAACTTTTCATCTTCCCTGCCTGCCTCCTTGGATATCACTGTCCTCTTCTAAGTCTTCCAGCTTCCACTCTGACCTTACTACTTTCAATTCTGGATCTTCTTCCTTCACCCCAAAGTAAATTGTTATGCCCTAGAGTCCCGTCCTGGGATGCTTGTCTGGACTCTCCCTTGGTGTGCATATCTGCTCCCACAGTGCCTCTGTGCTGGTGAGTCCCCAGTCTGCACTTCAGCTTGCAGCCTGAATTTCAATTTACCATTTTCCACGGCCTGCTGGGGATCGCGCTCGTGTCCGCATGCTGCTGGCAAAGCCGCGCTCACGCCTCCATGCACCATGCGCTCAGTGTCACATGCAGCTTTTGGCTGGGGCTGGTCCTCAGGCGTGGCTCTGTGCACTGGTCTGTTCTTCCTCCCAACATCCCAGAGATTGTATGACACCTGGCAGCTCACTTCCACCTTGCTATTGCAATCGCACTCTCTCCAGATATTTACAGCGCTTATTGACTAGCACCGAGTCACCTCCCAGCTGCTCTCCCGCATTTGTGGTCCTCTTCCTGTACCAGTTAGTTTACCTGGACATGGCAGATTACCCCTTGACACACCTCTGCAAGACTATAACAGTAGAGAAGATGGATCTTGCTACCTGCAGATTAACCTGGGATTCAGACCCTATTTGTTTAGTCTCCCTGTCCCCATGTGTGCTCCACTTCCTGTTTCTCGTGTATACCCTATGTTATGCTGTTTCTGAGACTGCTAAGAAAGTTTCAGCCAGCTGGGTGTGTGACTCTGGCTTGAAAATAGCAATAAAAGAATGTTTTGTCTGGACTTTCCAGATCTCCTAACTCCCATCAGTCCCTGCCTTCACATCCTGACTTCTGGTTAATCATCAAAGCTCATGTTCTAACGCCTTTATAAAGTCCTTCTACGATGGTCTTAGCTCCCGTGTCTCTCACTTCATTCCCCAGTGCATTTGAACAAGCTTTCAAGGGCACTTGATACACACACACACACACACACACACACACACACACACCTGTAGTGTCTGAATTCTCAATTCCATGGTCAAATTCAATTTTAATTAACACTTTCATTATTTACTATAGTACCTTACACACAGCCCATGTTCAAGAAATAGCTGCTAATGATGCTAATGATGAAGACCTGCAGGCTAGCTCACTTACTACTTCTCTAACTTTCATACTCAAACAGATAAACAAAGAAAGTTAATGGACAAACAAAAGGCAACACTTTGTAAGTTGGTAAAAATTTCTATCTTGTTTTTCAATAAGTCGTCCACAAACTGCCAATTTTAGTTGGTAGAGAAACAAAGGGTATTTTAAGATTCTCTACATCTTTGAGAAGTTTCTGAAAGGGCACCCAATCCCATCTTCTGGGAGAGAAATCTCCTTTTGAATTCCCACTTATGATTTCTGAATTGTTGTGAAATAACCTGGTTGTGGATGGTGAGTGCCATTTTAGTGAGCTGGCAAAGAGATCCAGCTTGCTGTGGACTTATAACCAGGATTAAGGTAGTTTAATGTTGAGAGAGTAAACAAGAACAGAACCCAAGGCTCTAGCCTATGAGATTTATCAAGGTATACATGCTAAGCTTAGAGCAGCTTCCAAACCTTGCCTAAAATAAAGCATAGCGTCAACCTCTGTTTTCTGTAACCCAAACCAGTTCCAAATGTTTGAAGGAAATGCCTAGTTTAGCTTTCAGGCATCCAGGCTAGCTCTCTCCATATGGCGAGCTAAGGAAACAGTCAGAAATCCTTTTGAATAGATGGCTTTAAGAAAGAAACAAAGGAGGATGGCTTCCCTTTGATTTAAAGCAACCGTAGTGAGCTGTATTCCAAAGTGACATCCAGTCCTTTACCACTTGTTAAAATATTTCATTCTTTTTTTTTTTTTTCCTGAGAAAGAAGCTTGGGAAATGGCACTGGAAGAAAGAAAATGTTCTAAGAAAGAGATATGTATACAGAAAAGTGGGGGTAAAGGAGGAAGGACTGGGTTTCCATGTGAGCAAGAAAGGTAAGCATGCTAGGCTAAGAGGAAGAAGGAAGGGAACCAATGTATAGGAACCAAAGCAAACCCTTCTAGAGCAACAACAACAACAACAAAACATGTTGATTGTGGTAGGGATCTTATAATACCCAAAGCCAATCTGCCTTGGTAGGGTTTAGGTAGACAGGGATACAAAGATCCCCCAAACCAGCGAACCAAGATTTGATGACAGTTCCCATCTTTAACTTGATTCAAAGCACCCACACTATAACATTTGGTATCACCAGTCAGAGATCCAAACTAGAGCCCATGGGAAAAGCAAAGAAGCAAATTCAGTCACTGCTTCACGGAGCTTGAAACCTAATGGAAAAGCTAATAGACCAGCAGTAACCAGCTGGAGGTCACACCAGAAAAAATGTTTCAATTAGGAAGGGCTTCACACCAGGGTATGTTCAAGGGACAACAGTTTCACATTTATCATGGTGAGAAGTCAGGCTAACATCAATTTAGATCAGGTGAGGGAAAGCCAGCAGGCAGGAAAACAGCAGAATGCCCTTCCCTTTGGCCAGTGGTTCTCAACCTTCCTAATGGTTTAACCCTTTAAGATTTAGTCCTTCAGGGAATTAGTTCATTACCATCTTGGCGGGAAGCACGGCAGCACACACACAGGCAGTCATGATGTAGTATACAGAGTACAGATCCACAGGCAGCAGGAAAAGAAAAAGCCATTAGGCCTGGCTTGGGCCTCAAAGCCTACTCCCAGTGACACTCTTCCTCCCACAAGGACACCCACTCCAATACGGCCACACCTCCTAATCACTCTCAAGTAGTGCCACTCACTAATGACTAAGCATTCAAATATTTCAACCACCACAAGGACTGAGCTGGCACAGACTTGCTTTTTCACCACTCTCCTCTGCCAGCCTATGCGGCTTTGCCAGATATAACCCCATTGCCTTGAACTTCTCAGCTCTACAAATGTAAGCCACTCATTTTCTGTATAAATTATCTAGACTCTTTACTGGAATAATACAGAAGAGGCTTAGACAGGGGGACACAGATTCCAGTTATGAGGGGTCTACCCTGATGGCCTAGTGTCCTTCTTAAGGCCCTCCTTCCTAAAGCCATTGCCTTAGGAGCTGGTGGTTATTATATGACTTTGATTGCCAAATGAATATTCAGTTTATAGCAAGTAGTTCACAAACAGAGAATACAGATGAGAAAAGCTGATCGAGATCCCTTGTGAGAACTGGAAATCTAAAAATCTATGTTATCTTCAATTCTTCTTTCTGCCACAAAGAAGAAATGATGAAAACAGAAATAGTCTCATATATCCTCACAACATTCTCATTTTTTTTTCTGGTATGCTTACCATTCAGACATTACCTGTGGGGTTTCTCTGAAAGACTCATGAACTATGTTGCTAGGTGCTAAAGGAGTTGTGTTTCCAACATTAGAGAATTCTTTCCTTTTGCGAGTGGCGGGGAGCATCTTGTCATCCCTCCACAAGGCCTCCCTCCACACATTTTCATCCCTTGCTCTCAGAGAAATCCTGATTGGATTTTACACATGGGAGGGGAGAGTAAAAATCACTAGCTATAAAAGGATGCTTTAGAAATGCCAGAGGTTAGAAAATTTCACAAGAAGCTTAATGTGCAGGAGCCTGTAGATTATGGGGTGGCATGTTTCAGTGCTAATGTGGATGGTGATTTTGCTCTGGGGAAAGGTGGCTTATTTGCGGTATAGGTGACTGTGAGGCCTTCCGGGGCCTCTGGAGGATGGATGCATGCGTGTTGCTTGCAGATCTGGGAGTCTTCTCCAAGCTGTGAAGTAACCCATGTTCACATGCCCCTTTCCCTCCAGCCTTTCTTTCAGGTCTATTGGAAGGTCGCCAGTGTGTTCTGGATTTCCCAGGCCTAGTTATCAATGAGAATGATCTTGGCACTTATTAGCATCTCTCCGATGTTGCTCCACAAATCCTGGTAGCCACGCTGCTGAGGGCAGCTCCTGTAGCTGTTCTGCGATGAGGGGTGGTCATAAGCGCTTCAGCTCTGCAGCTGGGACACCTCTGCTGACGTCTTGCATACTGGTAAGGTGGCAGCTTCCGCAGCAACGGTTTTTCGTTTTAACAGTTCAAGCC